GTAGACAGGGGGGGAAATAGGATCATTTGAGCTGTGGCACTGAAGAAGGTTCCTACAAATTCCTTGGGCGGTGAAGACGGCACACAAGCCAAGCGTCGGAGCGTATCAAGCCAGGCGTATCACTGGAAGGCAAAGTCACAAGATTCCGTCTTCTTTCAGCCGTGTCATGCGATCAAACTCACGGGAAAAGGCAGCTAGAACGGTCCTTGGTAAAAAGAAATGAGACCACACACACACAGACACACAAAATCAAAGCCCAGCCCAGCCCAAACATAAAATAACTCGGTTTAGGTGCTGCAGCTGCCAAAAAAAAGCCAACACAGTGCCAGGCTGCATTAAGAGAGGGACAGAATCAAGATCACGTGAAGTGTTGATACCGCTTTACAAGGCCTTGGTCAGGCCACACTTAGAATACTGCATCCAGTTTTGGTCACCACGATGTAAAAAAGATGTTGAGACTCTAGAAAGAGTGCAGAGAAGAGCAACAAAGATGATCAGGGGACTGGAGGCTAAAATATATAAGGAACGGCTGCTGGAATTGGGAATGTCTAGTTTAACGAAGAGAAGGACGAGGGGGGACATGATAGCAGTCTTCCAGTATCTCAGGGGCTGCCCCAAAGAAGAGGGAGTCAAGCTATTCTCCAAAGCCCCTGAAGGCAGGACAAGAAGCAACAGATGGAAACTGACCAAGGAGAGAAGCAACCTGGAATTAAGGAGAAACTTCCTGACAGTTAGAACAATTAACCAGGGGAACAACCTGCCTCCAGAAGCGGTGAATGCTCCAACACTGGAAGTTTTTAAGAAGAGACTGGACAGCCATTTGTCTGAAATGGTATAGGGTTTCCTGCCTGAGCAGGGGGTTGGACTAAATGACCACCAAGGTCCCTTCAAACTTTATTATTATTATTATTATTATTATTATTATTATTATTATTATTATTATTATTATTATTATTATTATTATTATTATTATTATTATTATTATTATTAAATTTATCTTTGGCAGTTACCAAATTCCAGATACCTGCATTGTACGTACATCTGCCCTCTTTTACTTACCGACCGTAGCAGCCGTGCCTGGAGAAAAACGTTCTTCGCAGAATTGCTTTAAAAAGCAAGTTTTCCCCACAGCTGAATTCCCCACCAGAACTATCTTGAAAATACGATCCGGAGCCGTGCGCAACACTTCAACCTTCACACAAGCACAGATATTAGGTTGTTAGGGGTTGCGTTGTTAGGCACAGGATAAAAAAAAAAAGGAATGCAATATATAAACCAGAAGCGGCTATGCGATTCGTTTATATAGGATTAATACGAAAATGATCAGATAACAGCATTTAATAATAATAATAAAGTTGGAAGGGACCTTGGAGGTCATCTAGTCCAACCCCCTGCTCAGGCAGGAAACCCTATACCATTTCAGACAAATGGCTGTCCAGTCTCTTCTTAAAAACCTCCAGTGATGGAGCATTCACCGCTTCTGGAGGCAGGTGGTTCCACTGGTTAATGGTCCTCACTGTCAGGAAGTTTCTCCTTAGTTCTAGGTTGCTTCTCTCCTTGATTAGTTTCCAGCCGTTGCTTCCTGTCCTGCCTTCAGGCGCTTTGGAGAAGAGCTTGACTCCCTCTTCTTTGGGGCAGCCCCTGAGATATTGGAACGCTTCTATCATGTCCCCCCTCGTCCTTCTCTTCATTAAACTGGACATACCCAATTCCAGCAGCCAATCCCAAGATAAGCGAAGGGGGGGGGGACATGATAGCTGTCTTCCAATATCTCAGGGGCTGCCCCAAAGAAGAGGGAGTCAAGCTATTCTCCAAAGCCCCTGAAGGCAGGACAGGAAGCAACGGATGGAAACTAACCAAGGAGAGAAGCAACCTAGAACTAAGGAGAAACTTCCTGACAGTTAGAACAATTAACCAGTGGAACAACCTGCCTCCAGAAGTTGTGAATGCGCCAACACTGGAAGTTTTTAAGAAGAGACTGGACAGCCATTTGTCTGAAATGGCATAGGGTCTCCTGCCTGAGCAGGGGGTTGGACTAGAAGACCTCCAAGGTCCCTTCCAATTCTGTTATCCCATTATTCTGTTCATTTGGCCAAAGTGCGCTTGATCCAAAATAAAATCTCAAATCTTAAGGCAGCAACCCAGCTCACAGAGCACCAAGGACCCCACCCAGCTCAATACTCTCTTCCATAAAATCTAAATTGTACACTTTTTCTCCTTACATGTGTCAGCGTTTCTTTTCCGACAGGCTCTTCCCTAGATGAGGCATGACACTGTTCCGCCGGTGGCTGCCGTTGACTTCCATTCACACCCGGTCCTGGTTCCCCTCCATCTTCTTCAGACCATCCAATGAGTTGCCTCTCACTCCTAATCAGAAGGTGAGGCAGATGGTCTTCCTCAATGGATATTAGCCTTCTGAATGGCTTCCTCTGGATCTGCCCCCCAGGCTTATGGGGCTCGGAATCCAATGACAGATCGACATTCCCACTCTGGGAACTTCTTATCTGGGACGCGCTAAAGGTCTCGTCTTCCGAAGGCTCGCTGGAAAGTTATTAGGAGAAAAAAAACATACAACTCAAGTCACTTATAATTCTGTTAAGTTATCTGAAAAAACAGAAATAAGGTGCCCAAGACACACTGGAAGGCTCACCTCTTCGACGAACCTCTTTCCAAATATTTGCCGATAATGGAGCCCGACCGTTGCTTCCGACTGACAGGTGCCTCGTGCCCGAATTTCTGTAGAAATATTGTTTTAAAACATCAGGATATCTTATCTTATATCTATCTATCTATCTATCTATCTATCTATCTATCTATCTATCTATCTATCTATCTATCTATCTATCTAAATAAATAAAAATGTAAATGTTCGTTTGTTCCAAATCTTAAATCTCCGAAAGTTCTTCACCGATTGCTTTGAAATTTTGACACAAGGTTGCATTCGAATACACGTGTGTTTTTACATACCTACTATTATATTATATAGATGTCACACCTGTGACAGGTAAAAACATGCTTTTTTTGAAAAACAGCGCCATCTGTTGGACGTAAATTTAACCAGACCGAGCCACAGCAACGCGTGGCCGGGTACAGCTAGTATATTATATAAATAAAAATGTAAATGTTCGTTTGTTCAAAATCTTAAATCTCCGAAAGTTCTTCACCGATTGCTTTGAAATTTTGACACAAGGTTGCATTCGAATACGAGCGTGTTTTTATATACCTACTATTATATTATATAGATGTCACACCTGTGACAGATAAAAACATGCTTTTTAAAAAAAAACAGCGCCATACCTACGCATGTGTTTTTATATACCTACTATTATATAGATGTCACACCTGTGACACAAATGTGCGCTTTCTCTTTTCTTTCTTTTCCATTTAACCAGACTGAGCCACAGCAACGCGTGGCCGGGTACAGCTAGTAGTGAATAAAACAGTAGAAGCCAGGCCGGAAAGTCCAAACTATATAAATAGGCTTGTTTCTTCCAGATAGCCCAAAATTTCTGTCGCAAAGTAAGACATTTGTTCGGACATTTTTTTCTCATTTTATGACCTTCTTTGCCCACGGTTGTTAAGTGGGTCACGGCAGTTGCTAAGTCAGTGACACGGCCGTTAAGTGAACTTGAACTCTGATTGTCCGAAGGTCGCACGAGGGGATCATGCGACCCCGGGACACCGCAACCGTCATAAATATGAAGCATCGGAGTGTAAATCACGTGACCCTGGGGATGGATGCTGCAACGGCCGTTAAGTGTGAAAAACCGGTCGTGAAGTCGCTTTTTGTCAGAGCCGTCATAACTTTGAACGTTGTAAGACGAGGACTAGCTGAACGCCTTTCCAGGAAGGAGAAAGCCTGCACATAAATATGTGAGAATTTCTAACCAGTATTTTTTTGTCAGATTTGCTTAACGACCGTGTTACCGACTTAACACCTGCAGTGATTCATTTAACAACTGCGGAGAGAAAGGTTGTAAAAAATGGGGCAAAACTTCCTTAACAAGCTGCCTAGAAGCAGAAATTTTGGGCTAAGTTGTGTTCGTAACTTGAGGACTATCTGTATTCCATTTAATTCATCGATTAAGCTGCTTAATCGGTAGCAGTTCACTTTGGTGATTAAGGATATCGAAGAGATTTAAAAATGAATTTATAGCAATGCTTTTTTTGGGGGGGAAGCACAACAGTGTCTCCAGCGTCCCTCAGTTTCTAGAAATGGGAAGCCACCGTGGCAGTTTTTGTCTAAGGTCTTTGTGTAAAATAATCCTTTTTATCCCAAAAGCTACGAACGTACCTGCTGAAGGCACACGTCGCGTTGGTCACTCAGATGTTTGTTCCTTTCCCTATAATGAGGAAGGAAGGAAGGAAGGAAGGAAGGAAGGAAGGAAGGAAGGAAGGAAGGAAGGAAGGAAGGAAGATGGGAATGACAGAAGGAGGGAGGGAAGAAGGAAAACAATGGGAATGACAGGAAGAAAGGGAATGAGGGAGGGAGGGAGAGGGAGGGAGGGAGGAAGGAAAGAAGGAAGGAAAGAAGGAAGGAAAGAAGAAAAGAAGGAAAGAAGGAAAGAAGGAGGAAGAAAAAGAGGGAGGGAGGAAGGAGAAATGGGGAGGGAGGAAAAGGAAGGAAGGAAAGAAAAGAAGGAAATAAGGAAGGATAGAAGGAAGGGAGGAAGGAAGGAAGGAAGGAAAGAAGGAGGAAGAAAAAGAGGGAGGGAGGAAGGAGAAATGGGGAGGGAGGAAAAGGAAGGAAGGAAAGAAAAGAAGGAAAGAAGAAAGGATAGAAGGAAGGGAGGAAGGAAGGAAAGAAGGAAGGAAGGAAAGAAGGAAGGAAGGAAAGAAAGAAAACACCACAATTAAAGAGTATCTTTCAAGATTGCCCATTTACCAGAAAACTTTTCCAGTTGGGGGGCCGGGTATTTATCCTGGCGAAATGGCCTAATTCAGTGGTGGCGAACCTATGGCACGGGTGCCAGAGGCGGCACTCGGAGCCCTCTCTGTGGGCACACGTGCCACTGCCCCAGCCTCGCCTCTCCCCACGACCCCCTCCTCTCCAGCAGCACCCCTGGAGGAGAGTCGCCCCCGAGCGTGGCCCATGCGGAGCAGCGCAGCCAAGGACATGGCAGCCAGGCAGCGTAGACAAGACTCTGCCCTCACACCCCATCATGCACAGTTGATGCTGCGGGGCGCGGGCAGAGGGCGTGGCTGCTACTTCATTTTTGTCATTAATGGAAGCACCAGTGGCTTCTCTGTCTCGCTGGCCCATCAAGGGAATGACCCAACCTAGATTTTATAATAAATGCTCCGATTTTACTGGGAAAATATGTACATGGATTCAATCCCTGACCTGTTTTTATTTAAACAAATGGCTTTGTCTTCCTTATACAACGCCGCAATAAAGAACACATTCATCAAAAAAGGAAGATGACCTCCACACAAACAGACACACACACACACAAACACACACAGCTTGTTTTGGAAATCTTACCTCAAAAAATCCAATTGTTTAAGAAGTCCTAATTTCTCCCTCTCTAATATTTCTGTCACTCGGCAAACCTCACTGGAGAAGAGACAAAATAAATGTTACACAAAAACCCAGTTCAACCTGCTTAGACAAAATACTAATAGAGCTGTGATTTACTCCCTCTTGCAAGTATTGCACTAATAACTACAGAAACAGAGCGAATTCCTTAATTACTCCAGTTTATTTATTGTTAATGGCTACTTTTAATCTAAATCTGGATAGAAAAATGCTCTGGAGACCCAATAAAAGTAAAGCAGTGATCCAGTGTGAGAAGACTGTTAAACTTTCATTTTTATGGGGGGGGGGAAAAAAACCACAATTTTACAGATGCAGCATTAGTTAAATGAAGCTCTGGAGACACTCAATTTTAACTAAGTAAAACCAGCAATTTTATTCCACGGACTGTCTAACTTATTGTTATTCTCTCTCTCAGATGATCCAAATCATAACCTAATGAAAGAATCAGTGGTGATAAAGTAAAATTAATGCTGCTCGTAATAAGTGTAGTTTGAATCTCTTCTCTGATAATAAAAAATAGTCTTTTCAAGTTTTACTAAAATTCCATGAAACTGAAAACAAATGAGAAGCATGCCTGGCATAAAAAGAAAGCGCTCTTGAAAGCCACGGGAAAAAAGTGCTATTTTGATCAGTGTGTGTGCTACCTGTTCTAACATATGCCGGTGAAAGATGGACACTAACATCACAATCGACGCAAAAGCTACGAGCAGCGCAAAGATACATGCTCGACATCACAAGACAAGATAGAAAGATCTGCACATGGGTTGGAGAACAAATGAAAACATACAACGCCATCAACAGAGTAAATGAATTGAAATGGAAACGGGCTTTTGCAGCCGTTCATCCATTGTGGGAATCAATTTATCTGACCCATTAAGTAATCCTGCTGCCATCAACATATATATATATAACATCAAAGTCCCAATTTTGCCCCCAGGTTTTTTCCCATTAAACCCAAAAGGAAAGATTCTGGTTTTATCTTTATATTCACTTTGAGAATCTTCGGTGTTAAGATGGGAATCCTACTGCAATATTCCTTGGCTTTGTCACAAGTCCACCATAAATGATAAAAGGACCCTGTCATAGTTCCAACAGATGAAACTCTTCAAAGAACTTCGAGGCCTTGTTGACCTTAAAGAATCTTTATTTGAGTAGCATGGCGTGGGCACTAACACAATCGAAGCCAAAACTGGATTCCCTGAGCACATAGTATCAAAGCACAATTCCCTCCTCCAATTAACCGTCATAAATCACATTCTCCAATTAGCTTGAAATGCAGGCTTTCCCTCCAGTTCTCCAGCCCGCCAATCCTTATCATCTCTTATTTCAATAACCTTGGTTCTCACACTAGGTTCAGTATTGTTATGTCTAGCTAAACTCTCATGCACATTCCTTGCCCCCAGCATCATCTAACTCTAAAAGTGAAACATAAGAAGGAAAATGGTTGCATCTCTAACTGTTGTTAAAGCAAAAACATCCGATGTTAGCAGCCTTGACATCCCCCTTTAAATACCTTTTGTGGCCACAAACCATGGCCATAGACCACCCAGACAACTCAAGATTTAAAGCATTTAGTCTGCTTTAATGGATCCCCAGTGACAACATTGTAGGCCTCCAGGGATCTGTGGACCGCACAGGTTGAGAACCACTGTGTGTAATCTATTGGTGTAGTATATATGTGGATCCAAGCAATGTGGGGGTTTTTTGCAATTGCCTAATGAAAGTTCTGTCATTGCACAGATTTTCTAAGTGCCATCCAAATTCTTAGGCATGGCATCCAGGGTGCCAATAACCATTGGGAGTATATGCAATAGTGTTGTTTTTGTTGTTTTTGTTGTTGTTATTACTATTTTATTTGTGTTTTCAATTTGTGTAATAAAATAGTTATCCTTTTATAAAATCAATCTCCTTATGTTAATTCCTCTTTTCTGGAGTTACTCACATTTCCTTTTCTTCCTGCAGATTTTTAGCTTCATCCTGAAGTATTTGCAGCTGCTGTTGGGCAATAATTAACTCCTCTGAGGTTCTCTCCAGCGAATTCAGAAGCTCTTGGTTAGTAACCCTCAATTTGGTATTTTCTGTGGTAGTGTCAGACCTAACATTACGTAGCTCTTTGCATTGTTTGTCCAACTGTATAAAAAGAAGAATCATAATTTTTTTAAAAAAAAACCAGTGGAATGGATTTTTTAATTCATCACAAGTCCATAAAATGCCTCCAAAGGGGAGTTTTTTAAAATTTATTCTTCTTGTTTTTAAAACAATAACAGGAAAAAGAAAAAGAAAAACACAAGGATAACTGTAACGCAAATGCGTACGTTTTTAAGAGGAAAAAAAATCTACATATCAAAATTTAACGAAGACCTCTAGAGGCCCCAAAGTCAAATCAATCTAAAAAAAAAAATGTGGCAAGGAAAGTCGTAAAATTGGGGCAAAACTCACTTAATAAATTTCCCGCTTAGCAACATAAATTGTGAGCTCAGCTGTGCTTATAATTGGAGGACTGTCTGTATTTCATCTACGCTTGAAAAGTTTTATATAGCTGTGCAGTGTATAGGCTGGCTGTTGCAATCGGCTTACGTTCAATTAACAGAACCGCTTGCACCAAATAAACAATTAATCCTCCCGAAATTATCTTATTATTATCTAGGCTCAAATTGGTATTGCCATGACAACAACGTAATAAGGCAGCTAAATGGCTGAAACGGGTATGTTTTTTGACAGAGCACAAATAAAACTAATATAGCCCTCAACAGGTTACAGGGGAAGTAGCAGGAAGAGCTTGTAAATCCTACAAGAACACGGAGGACAACCAATCGCCAATCAATGTGTTATTTTTGAGGCCATGTGAATTTCTCAGTTTACCTACAGTTTACCTTACACTTGAGCCTTCAAACACTGATAAGATGTCAACGCTGCTAACATCGGATGTTTTTGCTTTGACAACAGTTAGAGATGCAACCCTTTTCTTCTTATATTTTACTTTTAGAGTTAGATGATGCTGGGGGGGGGGGAGAGGAATGTGCATGAGAGTTTAGATAGACATAACAATACTAAACCTAGTGTGAGAATCAAGGTTATTGAAATAAGAGATGATAAGAATTGGCGGGATGGAGAACTGGAGGGAAAGCCTGCATTTCAAACTAATTGGAGAATGTGGCTTATGACTGTTAATTGGAGGAGGGAATTGTGCTTTGATACTATGTGCTCAGGGATAGATTAACTTTAGAGATTAAAGAGAAAGAAGACTCAGTTTATTTCAAAACATGGGATAATTTTTACCAGTGGTTAGGAAAACGAACTAGTGAGAAATGAATGTGATATGTTATCGTGAATATATACTAGTAAGATGAATGATATGTATTGACTAACTGTTACTGTTTATGACTATCGTTTCTCATATTCATTATAGCTATTTACTATTATATTAATTAGTGTTATTGAACATATGTACCTGGACAATAGTCTGTTTGCTAAAGCTTGAAAATGTTAATGGGGGGCAACCCCATTGTCGTTCCCATCCCTGTCCCAATCCTGATCCCCACCCCAAACCTCAATTCCCATACTGGCCCCATCCCTTCCCCAACCTCATAAAACTCAATAAAACTTTATAAAAAAAAGAATTGGCGGGCTGGAGAACTGGAGGGGAAGCCTGCATTTCAAACTAATTGGAGAATGTGGTTTATGACTATAAATTAGAGGTGGGAATTTTGCTTTGATACTATGTGCTCAGGGGAGGGGAATCCAGTTTTTGGCTTCGACTGTGTTAGTGCCGATGCCATGGTACTCAAATAAAGATTCTTTATGGTAAACAAGGCCTCGAAGTTCTTTGAAGAGCTTTATCTGTCAGAACCAGGACATAAGAAATATTTGGGATTATTTACAGCTTCCAATCAGCGTCTCAGTAAGAGCTCAGTTGAGTCACTTCCACAGATGTCAGGCTGATATTTACACGATACAAATCAACTGGCCAGCACAGCTAAAGAAGTTAAATTCCCTCTATCGAGCTTGAAAAATAAGCAGAGGGCTGCGCAGTCTGAAGTTTTAACACAGGAGTTGATCTTTGTCCAAAAGGATTTGTTCCAGAAGTCCTATCGGCCATGTAGTGTGGTGGCTTTTAAGGTCCCTATTTCTTTCCTATCAAATGAAGCAGAAGGAATAAAATCCGAGAGCAAGCAAACCATCACAAAATACAGGTGTGTGTTGTATTACGACCACAGAAGGTCACAAAAAAGGGGACCCCAGGATACGGCTACCCTCATAAATACATGTCAGTTGCCAAGAGGCTGAATTTTGATCACGTGATCGTGGGGATGCTGCAACGGCCGTCAGCGCGAAAAGGGGTCATAAGTTACTTTATTCAGTGCCGTCGTAACTTTGAACAGTCACTAAATGAACTGGGGTAAGTCGAGAAATATCTATGCAAGCAGGACCAAGTTAGGAATTCAGTGGTTCTGTGGCTTTCTTAGCAGAGCAGCTAAAAGGATGCAGCACACTGCCACCGTATGGCTAAGCTTACATGCAAAAATTCTGCTGTTATAACTCCATAATTTTTGAAGTGTTAGTACCACTTTACAAGGCCTTGGTAAGGCCACACTTGGAATGCTGCAGCCATTTTTAGTCACCACGGTGTAAAAAAGAGGTTGAGACTCTGGAAAGAGTGCAGAGAAGAGCAACAAAGATGATTAGGGGACTGGAGGCTAAAACATATAAAGAACGGTGGCTGGAATTGGGTATATCTAGTTTAATGAAGAGAAGGACAAGGGGGGACAGGATAGCAGTCTTCCAGTATCTCAGGGGCTGCCCCAAAGAAGAAGGAGTCAAGCTAATCAAGGAGAGAAGCAACCTAGAACTAAGGAGAAACTTCCTGGCAGTCAGAACAATTAACCAGTGGAACAACCTGCCTCCAGAAGCGGTGAATGCTCCAACACTGGAAGTTTTTAAGAAGAGACTGGACAGCCATTTGTCTGAAATGGTATAGAGTTTCCTGCCTGAGCAGGGGGTTGGACTAGATGACCTCCAACGTTACTTCCAACTGTGTTATTCTGTTAATCTATTTACTTCCATGTATCCAGGTCTGGTGTATCCAAGGTCCCTTCCAACATCATCATCATCATCATCATCATCATCATCATCATCATCATCATCATTATTATTATTATTATTATGATTTTCACATACTGTTTTCTGCTTCTGAAACAGTTGCTCCAATTCCTTCTCCTTTTCGACAAGTTTTTTCTCCAGTTCCTGGTGCCGGGACTGGAACTTCTCAGTGCCCTGCAAAATTGGACAATAATAAAAAGAACAGGGGATTTTAGTGAAAAGCACTGTGTACGCTGGAGAAACAACCAATTATGAGAATAAACTCGTGGTAGATTGTCATTGTTTTGCAATGCATCCATAGGAAAAAAAATCACACACACCAAACACACACAGGCGCACACAGACACGCACACGTACATGCAAAGAGCTTTCAGGTGGGCTTTGAACAAGTTAGAAAAGAGATGATAAGAGATCCGGAAGCTAAACTATAACAATGGAGGAAGCTACAGGGGTCTTCCAACGTGGCCCTTTTATGACTTGTGGACTTCAACTCCCAGAATTCCTCAGCCAGCGTGCCTGGCTGAGGAATTCTGGGAGGGGTACCACAAGTCATAAAAGGGCCAAGTTTGTAGACCCCTCCCAGAATTCCTCAGCCAGGCACGCTGTAGCCAATGAGCATGAGTGTTTAGAGAGCCGATCGGGTGTCACCTTGTTTTGGCAAGGAGCCAATCAGATCACAGTAGGATCCAGTTATCGATGTCACGTATTGAAGCTGAGAGGAGGACATTTGTCAGTGTGTTATGTCAAGTCGGTTAGGGGTTTTTTGTGTTCTTTCATTTAGTGAGCTTGTAAAACGTAATAAAATTAAAGCAATGGTGCAAAGAGTTGACTGGTCGCCCAGAAAGCGATGTAAAATAGTATTTATTAAGTGAACAAGGGCTACGGTTATAAAGAAATTGGAAGAAAAATGGGTGGAAACTGAACCAACGGTGGCATTTCTACAGTACACTTTTCCCAAAAGGTTTCCACCATTTTGGCCACTGCTGTAGTCATGTTCTACATCCACCTGCCCCTTTTGACGCCCGTATTAAACCTATACCTGCCTCCAACACGACTTTTTCCTTCTCGGTCTTGATCTGCTGCTCCATTTCTTCATACAGTCGCTGGATCTCGTCATCGTAGGCGGACATTTTGCTGAGATGGAAATTTTTAAAAGCACAAGAAATTACGTCTGGGTGGGAACACCAGCAAGAAAGCTGGAGAGACAAAGAAGCCACGTAAACTTCCTTTTGAGAGAAAGTCGAGGGTGGATAGACAGGCAAATCTCCCAGATGAATCTACAAGTCCCCCTCAGCAACATTTCGGTGCAGACAGTCCTCAGCTTACAACAGCTTGCTTAGTGTCCGTTCAAGGTTACAAAGCCCTGAAAAAAGGGACTTTATGACCATTTGTCACGCTTTA